GAAGCGTTTCTTATGATAGTGATTTTAATCACTGTCAGATTAAATCTATACTGGACCCAACTATGCAACGTCCCCACTATGTCGCGACTCCACTGTGCTGGGTTTTTTTTTTTTTCATAGTTGTATGTACATGTTATATTGTACCGCCTGCTTGAGACTCATAGAGCAATGCGAATTTTACTGTGTAAGGTGTAACTCTGTGTTGAGACGTCCTATGAACAAAGTTATTAACTATTAAGTGGTGATATTTCTCTTGGAAATTAATATAATACTCGTGTTTATTTTAATTTATTTATATTTTCTATAAAATGTCAACTCGTAAGAGCAATTGTGCTAATACTTTAACAAACTATTTTAATAAAAAAATAAAAACAACCCATGACGGAAATGAAGTCTGTACTTCAAGTCCAGTATTGACTGCAATCACACCAGGTACAACAGAAAAATCTAAGAGTGATGTAGCTGATATTGGTTGCTGTTTTGATCAAAAGGTTAGTGATGAATTAAAATATAAGTTACTTTCTAATGTTTGGATTCCTGATGAAAAGTTTAAATTTCCTATATCAGGAAATAGAAAGTTAAAATTTCAATTAAATTGGATTAATCGATTCCCTTGGTTATGTTACACTAATATGCAAGGTTCTGGAGCGGTGTGCAAATATTGTGCTATATTTTATCATAACTTTACCGGTAAAGGTGCACATCAAAAACCCGGCGTATTAGTAACAAAACCATTCAATAAATGGAAAAATGCAATTGAAATTTTTAGCACGCATAAGGACACAGAGTATCATAAAAACAACGTTTTTTTTGCTGAAAATTTTATTTCCATATATTGCAACAAACAGTTAGATATTTGTCAAAAAATTGATTCGGCACGTGCTAATCAAATAGTTGAAAATAGAAAAAAATTAACACCAGTTATTCAAACAATAATTTTGTGTGGTCGTCAAGAATTGGCTCTTCGTGGTACATCTGATTCTGGACCACTCACTTTAAATGAGCCAGTTCACAATGATGGTAATTTTAGAGCTCTTCTGCGAATGCGAATGAACTGCGGTGATAAAATGATGACTGATTGTATTGAAAATGACACATTTAAAG